CTGGGGCTCGGCGGCCGCAGCCCCCACTGGCCCCGGGCCCTCGGTCCGCCCTTCCGGTGCGTCCATGAACTCGGTGTCGCCGGCCGCCTCGCAGTACCGGAGCGGGAGCCCGGAGGACGCGCGCCGGCCCGAGAGCCGCCGGCCGCGGGGACCCCGAGTCCCGGACCCCAACGGCCTGGGGCCCTCCGGAGCCAGCGGCCCCGCTCTTGGCTCGCTTGGGGCAGCCCCTGGTGAGCCGGACGAAGTGGACAAGTTTAAGGCCAAGTTCCTGACGGCCTGGAACAATGTCAAGTACGGTGAGGAGGGGGGCTTGGAGGTGGGGGCGGAGTGTCAAGGAGAACCAGACCCCCGTGCCGATCATTCCACCATTTGTTCCTCTCCTGTGAGTCACCTGTGGGTTCCCCGCCCTGCCCGGCCCAGGGTGGACCTGAGGCAGGTCCTGCGGGGAATGTTCTCAAGCCTCGCCCGCTCCCCGTTTGACCTTGGGCTAGCTCCTTGGCTTCCAGGCTCCTCCGTTTTTTCCCCTCTACAAAATAGGTGCAGTCAGAACTGCCTTAATTCATCCTGAATTAATGGTGGTCACTCATATGGCTGTCACCAGGCCCCCCACCTCCGTCTTAGAGCAATACTGCACGGATTCCCCAGAGCCACCCAGAGGCAGGAGCTAGGATAGTGCCCATTTCACAGATGGGGTGATGGAAGCACTGTTGCTGTCGAGCACGTGCTCCATCTCACTGGCCACTGCCCTACACCTCCCCAGGCTGGACAGTCAGAAGCCGGACCAGCTTTAGCAAGATCTCCAGCATCCACCTCTGCGGCCGCCGCTACCGTTTTGAGAGCGAGGGTGAGCTGGTCATCAGGACCAGGGTTGGGGGAGTCCCCCTGGGGTGTCCCTGGTGGCAGCTGATAGGTCGGCTCTTATAGGTGACATCCAGCGTTTCCAGCGGGACTTCGTGTCCCGCCTGTGGCTCACGTACCGCCGGGACTTCCCGCCCCTCGCTGGGGGCTGTCTGACCTCGGACTGTGGCTGGGGATGCATGTTACGTAGTGGCCAGATGATGCTGGCCCAGGGTCTGCTGTTACATTTCCTTTCCAGAGGTGAGCTGTGCTGGGGTGGGGGAAGGGTGCACTAGGAGTACACCGCCAGCCACACGTCAGCAGTGTTGGAATTGTTTGCAGACTAAGAGCTTGTTTGTTCATTTATGCATTTATTTATTTTGGCCGCTGGCTTGTTCCGGGATCCAAACCCTTGACCTTGGTGATAGGGACATAACACTCAACCAACTGAGCTAACAACTGGCCAGCTTACGCTGAGAGTTTAAATAACATTTAAATAGCAGCTAAACACCACAAAAAAAAAAGTTTCGGGTGGGGAGTGAGAGTTATGTTTCAGAATTGTGAAAACAGTGGTTACAAGTGGTCTTCTCAGGAGCATTAGAACAGTGTGTAAAGCCTGTGTATGTGTGCCCCCCAGACACACACACACATACATTAGTACTGTTTGACTATGTACTCTGTCCTCTCTAGACTGGACATGGACAGAGGGCCCCAGCCTGGGACCCCCTGAGTTTCCAGGGCCGACCTCTCCCAGCTGGTACCGTGGGCCTGCTCGCTGGATGCCCCCACGCTGGGCTCAGGGTGCCCCAGAGCTGGAGCACGATCGTCGGCACCGGCAGATTGTTTCCTGGTTCGCCGACCACCCCCGGGCCCCCTTCGGCTTACACCGGCTGGTGGAGCTTGGGCAGAGCTCAGGCAAGAAGGCGGGGGACTGGTACGGGCCATCACTGGTGGCACACATCCTCAGGTGAGGGCCGCTGCAGGGAACACGGGAGCCACTGGGTGACCCCCAGGAACTCAGCCTTCCGTCCTGCCCCCAGGAAAGCTGTGGAGAGCTGCTCAGAGGTCACCCGCCTGGTGGTGTATGTTTCTCAGGACTGCACAGGTACGGGACTGGGAGCCAAAGTCACGGGGTCTCATCCTGAGCCAATCATTGTCTCTGCTGCCTCTTTGTTTTTTTTTTTTTTTTTTTTTTTTTTAAAAAGATGACCGGTAAGGGGATCTTAACCCTCGACTTGGTGTTGTCAGCACCACGCTCAGCCAGTGAGCGAACCGGCCATCCCTATATGGGATCCGAACCCGGGGCCTTGGTGTTATCAGCACCGCACTCTACCGAGTGAGCCACGGGCTGGCCCTCTGCTGCCTCTTTGGACCCGCCTTACTCAGAGGTTGAAACAGTTCTGGGACAGAGGGACACTTGGAAAGTCAAGGATGACATGGTGGGAGGTGCACAGGATCCCTCCCCTCTGCCTCTCTTTCTAGAACCAGGAGAGGAAACCTCAGAGGCTTCTCCCGGCCTCCTTCTCTCAGGTCTCATTCCCTCTTACTCTACAAACAATTCTAACATGTACAAAGGTCTGGTCTCTTCTGCCTCATAGGGTTGCCATGGGAATTAAATGAGTCAGTAATACAAGTAAGGGCTGGCCGGTTAGCTCAATCGGGAGAGCGAGGTGCTGATAACACCAAGGCCAAGAGTTCGAATCCCCTTTCTGGCCAGCCGCCAGGAAAAAAAATACAAGTTAAACACTCACTTAACATAATAAACATTCAATAACTATTAGCTGCTATTATTATTAGTATTCCTCACTACCCTCCAACCTCCTAAGAAAGGTCTTAATGGGAGCCTCAATGGGTTAACATCAGGGAGTCTACAAAACCTGTAAATTTTTATGCAGAATTCTAGGTGTTTGGGACAGGTTCGATTTTCAGTGAATCGTGTCTCCAAAAAGCATTGAATCTACTTCTCTGGGAGTCAGGAAAGGGGCTTTTGTAGCAGCAAGGGGAGGCAGGAGAGTGGGGACAGGCAAGTAGGACTCGGGGAGGAGGGACGTACACACAGGGACATTCAGTTTGGGGGCAGAGTACTCAGTGTTCCCATTTTCATGTTCGCAAACCAAGGCACCGAGTCACAGAGGAGGTCAGGCCTGAGACTGGGGAGGAGCTTCAGGCTCTGGACAAGGGTCTCTGCCCCTTCTTGGTTTTATGCTCTTGGTCTCTCAGGGCCTCAGTTGTCCTGTCTGTGAAATGGGGATGTCCACGCCTGCCTGGAGATTCTGGGATTGTCTCGGAAAACGTAGGGGACATTGGAAAAATCTTCACTGATGATGACAGTGTTGCCCACCAAGAGGTTGCACCAGTGAGGTTGGGCCCCTGGGGTTAGAGGGCCCCATTTTGGGTGGGCACAAAGGTGACCTGCTGCTGGCCTGTCCCTCCAGTGTACAAGGAAGATGTGGCACGCCTGGTGGCCAGGCCAGACCCCACAGCCGAATGGAAGTCTGTGGTCATCCTGGTGCCTGTGCGACTTGGTGGCGAGACTCTCAACCCTGTGTATGTGCCCTGCGTGAAGGTAGGTTCAGCCAGATTCTAGGGCACCTCCACCCGGGAACCCTCCAGACGTTTCAGTTTGTGCTAGGGCTGCTGTTTATGCTCCCATCATCCCTTCATTTTTTATTCAATAGTCATGGAGACCCTGGAAGCCCTAGTATGTGCCACTCACTGTCCCTGCTGCTGGGGATTCAGAGGTGACAAACAGAACAGAGAAAATTCTGAATGTGCCCACTGGAAGCGGACATTCTAATGGGGAGAATGATCTGTAACCAAATAGATGTTATAATTCGGACTCTTTTGTTCTTTTCTGGCAGCTGGCCTATATAGGGATTTGAACCCATGGCCTTGGTATTACCAGCACCACACTCTTCCAAACGAGCTAACTGGCCAGCCCACAATTTGGACTCTTACGGGAAAAAACTAACACAATGAAGGGCAGATGAGGGTGGGTACAGAGCCTAAGAAAGCCCCTCCCCAGCCCAGAGGCAAATGAGAAGCTGGTGGAGAAGTGCTCCAGGTAAAAGGAGCAGCGAGATAGAAGCCCTGAGACTGGAAAGAAACACGCTGTGTTTGCACTCAAAATAAAAGCCAAAGTTCTCCCATGGCCCACAAGGCCCATTTGTCCCCATCACCACCTCAACCTCATCTCCCCCCACTCACCACCTCACTGCTCCTGCTACAAGTAGCTCCTGGCTGTCGCTGAGCACTCCTGCCTCAGGGCCTTTGCACGTGCTGTTCCCACCGCTTGGAGCGCCCTTTCCCCTGAGATGCACACAGCTCCCTTGGTCTCTGCTGAAATGTCACTTCTCAGTGAGGCTTTTCCTGACTCCTCTATTGAAAGTCACAAAGCAGCATTCCCTCCTTTATTCTTTTCCATGTTATCACCTTATGACACGAGATAATTCATTCACTCATTTTGTTACCTGCTCGCCTTCCATGCTAGAATGGCAGCTCTGCGAGGGCAGGGCTTTTGTCTGTCTTGATAACTGCTGCCCTAGCACACAGTAGCCGTTTTGTCCATCTTGATCACTGGGCCCAGCACACAGTAGGCGTTTGCTAAGTGTTTGTTGAGTGGCTGCCCGACAGCACCTGCCTCAGCTCCGCCCACTCTCTTCCCTCAGGAGCTCCTGCGTTCAGAGCTGTGCTTGGGCATCATGGGGGGCAGGCCACGCCACTCACTGTACTTCATCGGCTACCAGGGTAGGCCCCCCCCACCCCGCCCCACCATCCCCTGCCCTGCCCCTGCTGATGCCTGTCCCCCCCACAGATGACTTCCTGCTCTACCTGGACCCCCACTACTGCCAGCCCACTGTGGACGTCAGCCAGGCTGACTTCCCCCTAGAGGTGAGCTGGGGTCTCCAGGGTGGGGTGGAGGCATGGGGAAGGGGCTGGGCCCCCTGAGCCCCCCTTGTCTGTCTGCCTCAGTCCTTCCACTGCACTTCGCCCCGCAAGATGGCCTTCACCAAGATGGACCCAAGTTGTACTGTGGGGTTCTATGCAGGAGACAGGAAGGAGTTTGAGACCCTGTGCTCAGAGCTGACCAGGGTGAGCAAAAGGAATGTTGAGGGGGCGGGGGCGGCAAGGGCAGGGTTGGGGTTGAAAGAGGAACAGAGGCCTTGAGTCCAGCAGACCTAGGGGTGCTGCTTCCAGGGTGGGTGTTGTAATCTGGAAAATGCTGTAGTCAACGTCCACCTCTGAGAACCTGAGGGGATGCCAAGGCAGGCTGTTCAGTCAAAATTGTTCTGCGCATGGCAACAAAAGCCCAGCTCTAACAGATTACAGCAAAAAAAGAGCACTGAACTGAAAAGTCTGGGGCATTGGTGCCTTGGGGACAACTGTATATAGGGCCTTAAGTGGCAAGACCCTTCCCTGTCTCTTGATTCTGCTGTTCTATCAGGGCTTTACCCTTGTGGGGACAAGAGATGGCTGCCAGCCCCTCTGGGTATTTACCCTCCCAGTTCATTGGAGTGGGAGCTCTACTTTTGTAGTAATTGCAGCAAAAACCCCTGGGCTCTCATTCATTGGCTGGGCTGGGTCACGTGCTCACCACTGAGCCAATCACTGCGGCCAGGGGGTAGAAGGTGCTGGTTGGCTGGCCCGGGTGGAGGCCTTGCTTGGAAAGGTGGGTAACGTGTCCACACCCTACTAGGATAGTCCATAAGTGATGATTACTGTGTTTGGGGCTGAGCCATGCTCTCCCTCCTCCTGCCAGGTCCTCAGCTCCTCCTCAGCCATGGAGCGGTACCCCATGTTCACCCTGGCCGAGGGCCACGCTCAGGACCACAGCCTGGATGACCTCTGCTCCCAGCTCTCCCAGCCAGCGCTGAGGCTCCCTCGCACTGGGCGGCTCCTCAAGGCCAAACGCCCGAGCTCCGAGGACTTTGTGTTTTTATAAAGGGAGGGGATAGGGGAAAAGATGCAACACTATTTATTTTTTTATTTATGTCATGTTGGGTGTGGGAGCTTGAACTCTGGCGGTGTTGGGATTTCCTGTTCTCACCCTCTCACCAAGCCCAGCTGTGACCAGTCTGGGAGCCCATTCAACCGGTACAGAGCCCGCATGCCAGCCTCCCTTCCTTGCAGGGCAGGGAGGGAGGGAGGACTCCCAGGCACCACTCAGGGCCCAACTCAAGTACTGTAGTTTGCACTGGACTGTCCGGGCCCCTCATTGGTCCCGAAGCCCCTGTCCTGGGGGAACTGCAGCCACTGAGGGGCAAATAAAGCTGTCTGACTTAAACGTGGCCATGGTTGGCCTCAGTGTTCTAACAAGATGTGGGGTCCAGGAGGTGCCTCAAATGAGGTTTCTAAGTCACATGGGGAAAATAGTTATGTCAGCCTCAGTTTCCACATCTGTAAGATGGGAAGACTCCCTTGCTTGCAGGTAGATAGGAGGTTCTATATAGCAGATGGATACACTACTGTCGGCAGGAGGGGTACATCCAGGGGCTTGGTTTGAGGAAGGAGCCCTGGGGCCCCTGCCTGCTCCCTTGTGCTCAGGGGCCGCTCTTTGGCCCCTGCCGCTTTCTTCGTTGCCGGCCCAGCTGACGGAAGTGCAGCCGTTTGGGGTTGAGTCCAAAGGCCTGCAGTCTCTGGCGGCTGAACTCGCGTCCGCCGAGCGTCACCGTGGGGCCCAGCACCCGTGCTTTCTTGCCCCTCCTCCGCTTCTGTGGGGCTGTCTTCTCAGTGGGTGACACAGGGACCTTTTCTTCCTGTGCTGGGGGGCTCTGAGGGTGGGGCCGCTTCCTGCAGGCCCCATCAGGCACTGGCAGCTGCCCCTGTGGGCCAGCTTTGGTGCTCTGTGGCTTCCCTGTGGCTTCCATGGGCATATCTGTCCTAAGGGAGAAAAGTCAGGGCTCAGCTCAGGCTGGTGACGATTAGGCCTGTTCCTGAGCATAAGTGCCCCATTTTACAGATGACGAAAGGAGGCAGATAGGCAGAAACAGCGATTCGGGGCCTGCCAGGGGTTCAAACCCAGGTCTGAGGCCAAAGCCAAGGCTGGTTTGTTTATTTTAATTAAACTCTGCTAAATTTAACCAAAGCCAAGGTTTTCCTGCTGAACCTCAAGGCTGGATTGTGATGCTGATAATTCTGATATTTGTGCCTGGGCCTATACTAAGCTATTCACATAAATTAACTCATTTTAGCTTTTTTTTTTTTTTTTTTTTTTTTTAAAAAAAGATGACCGGTAAGGGGATCTCAACCCTTGGCTTGGTGTTGTCAGCACCAGGCTCAGCCAGTGAGCAAACCGGCCATCCCTATATAGGATCCGAACCCGTGGCCTTGGTGTTATCAGCACCACACTCTACCGAGTGAGCCACGGGCCGGCCTAACTCATTTTAGCTTTAAATCAACTCTGTGAGCTTCGTCTTGCTTAACAGACTGGGAAATAACAATCACAATAATATCTAAAACTATAGGGCTTTTACTATATTTTAAGCACTTTACACAAATTAAGTCACAACCCTTAACGACCTGATGAAATATGAACCACCTTTATCTCAATCTTATATATGAGAAACAGGCCCAGAGAGGGGTAGCAACTTGCCCAAGGTCACAGAGCTAACAGCCCAGCCAGGATTTGAAGCCCCATTCCCAGGGTCATACAACAGACAGCTGACCAGTGCAAGACTGAAACCCCAGGCCTGGAGGACTCCTCACCAGCCTCCCCCCAGCCAGTAACGCTTACTCCTCTGGGCAGAGGGACTTGAAGATCTGCCTCTTTTTCCACGTGTTCTGGGCCTTCTGGCTGTATGCCCTCTTGTCCCGCAGTTCCTCCTGCTCTGACCTGCAGGCACCCGGTGGACACACCTGTCATTGGGTGCTCTAGGAGGTGCTCATGCTTGCCTGCCCATCCCTCTTCCCAGGCACCAGCCTCGTCCTGCCCTGTCACCTGTACATGCAGGTCTTCTTCAGGGAGCACCACCGGTTCAGCTCCTTGTCGTCCGCAGCGAGGATCTGCAAGGAAGGGAGAGTGGGGATCCACTGCATGAGGCCCCAGGGAATGGGAGTACCCTAACTCTCTCTGAGCCTTAGTCATGTCATCAGTCGAAATAGGGCAATGTTAGTACCACCCAGATGGCAAAAGAACATCTCTGAGGCTGTGGGGCATCAGATGGGTAAACTGAGGCTCAGAGAGGGAATCCTTGCAGTAGGTCACACAGCCAGGAAGTTGGCTGATTGCAGATTCCAGGTGGATCCCAAAGACCCTGCAGCTCTTATGTCCAAAGCCTCAGAATAGGGCAGGGGTCTCTACTAATTACAGATGAGACCCAGCTTCCCAACCTGTAGACATCAGTTTCCTCATTTATGCGATGGACACCCCCTCTGAACCTACTGGAAGGCCATCAGGAGGATTAAGTGAGTGTGGATGGTATAAGCTCAATAAACATTGGCTAGTTTTACTGGCCATTAATAATCAAGCACCCACAGCCACCATCACTAAGGGACCGTGGGCGCTCTTGACCTGCCAGATGCCAAAGAACCATACACAAGTTAATTTTGTTTTAGAAGCTCCACAGCCAGGAGGTGGAGGCTGTTATAAGTCCCATTTTACAGAAGGGGAAACTGCAGTACAGGTGGTTAAATCTCTTGTCCAAGGTCACACAGCTGGTGAATGTCTGGGCCAGGATTTGAACCTGGGCCATCTGGTTCTGGAGCCCACCAAGTCTGAACGGCCACCCTGCTGCTGAGATACAGTAATAAGATTAAAAGTGGTATTTACGGGGACATGCTACGGGTAAGGCACTGTTTCAAGCCCCACCTTACGGAATCCCTTTGAGGTAGGAAATATCATTAGTGCTGTCGTCATTAGCACTGTTATTACTACCAGTTTCAAGATAAGGACACAAGTTGTATGTTGTGGCATCTTCGGGTAATAGAGACCAGGGCTCAGGTCAGCTCTCTGCTCTCTCTTGCACAGTGGGTGCACCGCCCCAACATGTCCCCTGCCTGCCCGGGTCCCCACCTCCTCAGTGCTGAGCCCGAAGTCACAGGGCACCACGGTGCGGTATTTGAAACGACAAGGCAGGTCATCAATGACGTCCTCGTAGTCTAGGCGGTAATACTCATCCAGGTATTCCTCGAATGTCTTGTCCCCTACACGGGAGACAGCCAGGCTGCCGGGGTGTGCCAGGCAAAGACCCCCAGCTGCCCGTCCGCCCGCCCGGGCCTCACCAGGGTCGAATACAGGCTTTTCCTGCCCCACGGCGGCAGCAAAGGGTGACCTGCGCTGCTTCTTGCCAGTCGGGGGTGTCTCGCGCTTTTTCTTGCGCTGCTGGCTGGGGTCGTAGTCAGCGTCCATCTGCCGAGATGCATGGGTCAGGTCTGGCCATCCCTTAGGGTCCCCCGGACCCCCCACCTGTGACACCTACGTTGAAGTCGGGGTCCTCACAGTGCAGCTCTTGCTGCCCCCAGGCTGCATCCTGTTCCAGCCCATTCCACGTGTCCCAGTTCCAGTCATCTGTTTCCAGAGGACAGACAGGTGGGCTCAGGGCAGCACCTCAGGGCACCCCTCCCCCCCAACACTGCCTGGTGCCCTGGCTGAGCTCACCTTCAAGCCCCTCCTCTTCCTCAAATTGTGGCTTCTCCTCTTCCATGGTACCGTAGTACTCATCCCCGAAGCATTTCTGCAGATCAGGGCCGGGGTGAGCCCCCAAGATGCCAGCGCCCCTCCTCCCCCAACTGTTTTACTCCTGCACCTTGCATGGCTCCCCAGTGCCCTCCCAGGATCTAGCCCCTAGATGCAGAGGGACCCTGTGTGTCCATTCTCTGACCACCTAATTGCTACTCAGGCCTTAAGTCTTACCTCAGCTGCCTGTCCTATCCCCTTGCCACCACAGCTGTCAAAGCCCATCAGGGGACTCCTCTATGATCCCATCTCCCCCTGCATGTCCCCATCACCACCCCGATCCCTATGGGTTGTAACCATACAGTTATGTGCCTGTCACAGACAAAGAGCCCTAGGAGGGCAGGGACCTCTGTGCTGCCTGGTGTATGGCATGCAGTAGGTGTTCAATAAATGTTAAACTGGTTCCCACCACTCCACGAGTTCCAAGAAGGGTGAAACTGTCTTGGGCCCCTACTGGAAACCCAGCATCCAGTGGAGGCCTGGCAAAGGCAAACACTGTGAACCATGTTATTTATTATGCACCTACTATATGCCCATCTGTGGGCTGTATCTTGCTGCATTCTTACAACCTCTCTGAGAGAGCAACTACCTCCATTCTGTTGAGAAACCAAAGCTCAGAACTGAGCAGCTCCTAGGAAGTGAAGGCTAAACACCAATACATAGCACCCACCAATCCAGTTTTCACCTGGCCCACCTGGGGCTCTTGCAGTGCCCACTGCTGCTTCCATACATCCCTCACCTCCTGCTTCTTTGGCCTCATGCTATGTTCTCCCCAATACAATAAATATTAACAGCTCGAAAAATGAATTTAAAGGAAATGCAGTAACCACTGTTCCTTGAGCACTTACCAACTAAACTTTTATATATATATATACCTCTCAATCTTTCTGTACAACAGCTCTGAGGTAGATGCTAGTTAGACCTACTTTACAGACAGGGAAAGAGGCTTAGAGAGGTCAAGTCACTTTTCTGAGGCTACACAGTCAGGAAATGACCTGATTCCAGAGCCATATTCTTGAGGATTCAGTGTCATGGCTGAGCCAAGGCAAGAGGCTGCACCTGCATGAGCTGGTCGTGCCGGGCAGGGTCAAAGTCATCCTCCAGGTCCCGTTCTTCAAAGCCCAGTGTCTCATTGCCAGTGACCTGCCGAAGCTTCTCCAGCTTGGCCAGAATCTCCTTCCTCTTCAGGTTCTTCAGCTGCTTCAGCTCCTCCTGCTTCTTGGCTTTCTCCTGCAGGCAGCAGGTCAGGGCAGAGGGAGGGTGTGGGCTTTCTGGGGGGGCTGGGTGCCCTCCTCCCCCAGCAAACCACCCCCACACTCACCCTCTTCTTTCGCTCCTGAGTCTCTTCCCTTTTCTCCTTCCTGCGCTCGTCCTTGCGGCGCACAGAGGACGTGATACTTCGAGGGTAGGTCTTGACCTGGGGGCAACAGAGGTGCCCAGAAGGGCCACACAGATGACTTAAGGCTCTCTGGCCCTGGACCTCAGGGGCCGGGTCCTCCCAAACCTGGCCGTAGCCACACACCAATGCTGAGTCTGGCTCCTCAAAGCGGAAGTTGTACTTGTGCTCAAAGTCCTCCTGCTTCTTCAAAAACAGCTCCCCCTCGTCCGAGGAGT